TTACTGAATGCTGATAGAGACTGATTGCTAGAAGTGTAAGCCGCTTGGATGCTTTTCCTATTCGTCTGGTAGCAGCAATTCGTATGGTTCCTGTTCGTCTGTTTGGAGTGCTATATTGGATGCTGTTCGGGAGTTTGAAGCATTCACTTATTGTATGCAGTTCGAGTGTTTGGAGCATTCCCTTGCATGCAGTTCGGGTGTTTGGTGCATTCACTTGTATTCAATTCGTGAGTTTTGGTGATTCCACAGTAGCTGTGCCTGTCTCTGAAAGGGGATTATCGTCTAAGCGTTTTTTTCCCCTTTTGTGCAAAACGGTCCGTTACACTCTCCACTAACGTAGGCAGTCCAAACTCTACAGAAAATAGTAAAATAAATTTGTTGCACAGTGGTCAGCCCCATCAGAATAAAAACAGTGACACACCTGTCAGCCCCCATCAAAATAACATTGATGGCACAGTGGTTAGCCCCCATCAGAATCACTGAATAAAAATGATAAATGGTTTCAAGGGGGGCTGATCTACTAAGCGTGGCTCAAAACAGGTATGGAAGTTACAATACAAAAAAAAGTCCTAAGCAGAAATCCCATAAAAGAACACCATGAATGCTAAAAGCAATTAAGAGTGAAATACCTGGAGCTAGAATTCGAATAAAATAACAAGGGGGATGACTGAAGCGAGTAAAATAATCTAGGAGAGAGAATCATAGTACAACAGCTAAATATATTAGACGTCATCAGCTAACTATATTAGGCGGCATCAGCGGAGGGAGCAGTGCTGGAACATTGCTCCCTCGCAGCCCTCTTTCCCACCCACCAGTGCCATCTTAACAACATTATGTGCCCCTGGGCAAAACAGTGCACTAGGGCCCTGCCTACACACAACTCACAGGAATAAAAATTTTAATTATAGATAAAATTAAGCTTAGATTTATTAGCATCTCCAACAATTGCAATACATACAATACACACACACACAGACTGCTGAATACACACACAGTCTGCTAAATACACGCACACAGACTGTGTGTGTGTATTCAGCAGACTGTATGTCTATTCCACAGTGTGTGTACTCAGCAGACTGTGTGTATGTATTCAGCAGTCTGTCTGTGTGTGTATTCAGCAGTCTGTCTGTGTGTGTATTCAGCAGACTTTTTTTTCCCCACAGTCTGCTAAATACACACACACAGTCTGCTGAGTACACACACACACAGTCTGCTGAGTACACACACAGCCTGCTGAATGATCACAGACTGCATGTATTTAGCGGACTGTGTGTATGTGTATTCAGCGGACTGTGTGTGCGTGAGTACTCAGCAGTCTGCTAAATACACACACAGACAGACTGCTGAATACACTTATATAGTCTGCTGAATACACACAATGCTGGAGTACACACACACACACAGTCTGCTGAGTACACACACACACAGGGTCTGCTGATTACACACACACTGTCTGCTGAGTACACACACACACACAGCCTGCTGAGTACACACACACAGACACAGTCTGCTGAGTACACACACAGTCTGCTGAGTACACACACACAGTCTGCTAAGTACACACACACACATTCTGCTAAGTACACACACACACATTCTGCTGAGTAAACACACACACACAGTCTGCTGAATACACACACACGCAGCTGAGTACACACAATCTGCTAAAACACACACTGGTGAATGCACGCTGCTGAATACACACACACACACACACACAGACCGCTGAGTACACACATATAGACTGATAAATACATACTCACACACACACACACACTGCATTGAGGGGTGCAGTGTATGTGTTTGTGAGTGGGTAAGGGGTGCTGTACAGGACACCGGTGTCCGACATGAACTATTTACACCAAGATTCAGTCTGACCCAAACCACCTGTATTAGACGGGCTGACTACAGAGCGTCTAATGTCAACAAGCGGTGCGCCTTCGCTTCTTCCTTCCAGTGGGAAGGGGCAGATTCCATACAACCAAACCAATTCCAAATACAAACCCCTTGTGGGCCTACCGCTCTAATGGTATTAATCTTACCTCTTCGTTCCTGGACTCATCGACGGGGCACCCCGGTACTCACTGCGCAGAAGCCGATGATC